CTTAGAGCTTAAAGATTACTTGGTGCGGCTATAAACGACCGTTAAATGAAATGATTAATTTTTGAAGGATTTTGAAAACGGAAGAAATGATAGTCATGCTGGCCCAGCATCATCAACATTGAAAAATGCCCCAGCATGAAGTGGTTAATACTTATCTGTTGACTGCGTTTTACATATGAAATGGTTTTGGCAGCATCTGATTTTGGGGGGATTTGCACAAACCAAAGTCATGGTGTGGACAACCTATGGGATGCGTAACTTTTAAAACAAACTCTGTGCTCACAGAACTACGCTTAATGCCACTTAACAACTCTAATCCAGTATTTGTATTTGGAAATTTGAATAATCACTCCCTGAGAAACAGATAGCAGTTAGAATGTAATTGCATTATCAAGGAAGAGCATAGTATACATACATGTACATTTGAACACAGTGGCAATATCTGAAAGTTGTCCCCATGTAGGAGATCTTGTAGGCCCGAGATGAAAAAGCACCTCTTGTGGCAAAACTGTTCTCCAGTGCTTCTTGAAATTCTAACTGTAGAAAAGACAAGGAATGCAGTAATTATTAAGTTGTCACAGCCCTTGGAAAATCTCACAGTTGTCTTTATCAGTGTAATTGGCATTACCATGCAAGCCCCATGTCCAAACATGATTTTTCACACTGTTTGGTTTCTGTGATGAGTATGATGAGTTTTTGCTTGTTTAATCTTTGTGTCTGGCAAAGTGATTGTAGTTAAGATTCGAACAGCCAGGTTTCTTCAGGATCCAAGCTAGAAATCGATCATTTGAAACATCTAACTGAACCAGCTCAAATAAACATGGAAAATAATTCTCTGCACAGTTTGTTTCAAGAGTTGATCCACTATTTAGCTTTGCACAAGGGTTTTCATGTCTTCTTATCACATTGCTGTCCATCTAACATGCCCTGCAAGACACGGCTACAAATAGTTGTAACTTCAGGGAGGACTCTCCAGATACTGGCAAGCGATATTTCGTCAGGCTTTTGCTGGGCACAGTGATGCTCAAATTACAGTTAAACCAAGATTTCTTGAGGAAAGATGTTGTTATTGTCCACAGAGATTTTCAAGCTAAATAAGTAACAAGCAGCATACAAGTGGTCAGGTCCCTTACGTATGATGGAGAGATGTTACATTTCTAGGACTTACACCTACTGACATCAAACCTCGATATCAGGAGCTGTCTTCACTTGCCAGTAACTCTTCAGATACTGAACAGTTTCCAGAGTTTTGAATCCGAGGGGAAAAAAAAGAGGTTGCTTTACCTGTTGCTTTACCATCCAGTAAACACACATGCCCATTACGAAAGAGTATTCCTTACCATAGCATTGCCGCCGTGCTTGTAAAGGAAAAGTGTATTTCTGCTTTCTGACTGAGGAGGAGACTGCTTGTCATCATCAAATCTTTCCTGAAAAGGTGTTACCGGCAAACACAGCATTGGGGATGGCACAGTTGTTCCAACCATGATTAAATTCTTTTGGAAATGGGATCTCAGATGTTGGTGATTTGTGTGATATCCCTGCACCTAACTTTGTAATACTCAACTTTGGTAATTTGTGCCCAAGTGCATTTGGATAACTTGAGATTTTCTCCATGAGACACCTCAGGGGTCATAACACTGGACAGATTTATGGGTCTTGGTTGTTTCTCAAGTGCCATTGACTTGCAGTGTTTAAGGACTTTATTTACATTGTCATTATCGTGATGCATTTGTTTTGGAAAAAAGCAGTTTGAATGACATCATTTCGAGTGACATAGCAGGTTAGTTGAAGTTGATGAGTTCATTATAGGTTTCTCAGCTGAGATATCGACTTGCTGTGGTTTCGTAATGATTTGATTGTGATCAGAAGAGTTATCAGCCAGTGCTATGATTTTGAATGGCAAAGTATTAAGACGTGGCTTATCATAATAGGAAATGTTCCTATGAATCAGATTCCTTGTACGTGTACATGTAGTTGGCCAGTAGATACGTAATTCATCATGATTTCCTTCCTCTTCTGGTTTAAGTCAAACTTCTGTTGTGAAATGTAGTTTCTTTTGCTATTCAATAAGAAATCTCAATCCTTCATTTGCACTTCAGACTTCCTTCTTTGTAAAGGCTAGTTCCTTCCCTAAACACTGATGTGGCACATTTCCAGACACACTGCGATTTTAGCATTTTCTTGCTTTGTTTGTCAGAATTGGAACCAAAAGACTATGCAGGCTTCCCCAATCTGATCCAGTGTGATTTTAGCCTTGAAATTGGTTTGCAACGATTGCTTCCTTGCTTGATTAACCTTTCTGCACTTGCATTCATTTACTTCTTAGCAACCGTTTTGTTTACTTTCTCTCAGTGGTGGTGTATGTTTTCTGAACGGGAGACTCGGTGATGATAATGAATTCTGAGACATGTTTGTTGTGATGGATCATTGAGAAAGAGCATTCTTGCATTAACTTGCATACAGGCAACTTCAGACAAACTCTGTACAACTGCCCTCCCAAAGCTCACAATTTGGGGGAAAAACGTGGCATTTACATACAGCAGAACCAATGAAACTTTGTCTAGCGGTGCCTATGTACCTATTTAATTGCTCACCTTCTGAACGGCAAATGACGGTACATTGCCTATTGTAGAATTCGTATTGTGGCATCCGTATGGTGATATATTAGCCTCAGCTTGCCATGAATAAACTATTGTCTTCTCTGTCTTGCTCCCTGCAATCAATGAATGATGTATGTTCACTTGGGTTTGCATACAGAATTAGTCGGTCTCTTTTTTTTTTCTTTTTGCACTTATTAACACTAATCACGTTCATTATGCACAAGGGAATGAAAAATCAAAGCACTATCAATGTGTTTGCCGTCAATACTTTTGCATCCATGAATCTTTGCCAGTTGCATACATGCATCCGTGTTGTATTCGAGTGGATAGACTGTACATGTAGTGACGACTTTGTACAAACTGGTACCTGGAATACAAGTTTGCTATGTTGGCATCTATAACACCATTCAGTGTCTCAAAAAATCTTGTCGTGGCATTTGAAACTGTCCTGGTTACCAACCGGTGTGGTACTGCTATAAAAACATACTGAACTTGTGATTCCAGTTGTGCTGTCTCTTGACAATTCTCTATCCCCCCAAAAAAAAACAAGCACATCATTTGTTTGACAACTCCAGAAAGCTGTTGAAGGCTATTGCAATGACGGCCTGCGACCTGTGTGCAGTTTGTAAACCGTTTGATATTCAGCGGCAGGTGGCCAGTGAGTGCTTCGAGGAATTTTACACCCAGGTAGAGATGATGAAATGTCATTCACAAAGAATGACAAATTTTTAATCAACTTTCACAATACAAGAATAAATTCTGGTATTTATCAACTTTCTTCAATGATAATGAAGGTCATTGAAGTCTTACCCAACTGACTTAATTAGTCAGGACTCCATCCAAAATCCACAGATGTTTCTTATTCATCTGAGGATCTGGACAGATCTAGAGCCTTTAAGCTTTGAGGAAAATAATGTTTCAGCATCTCAGTGAGAATCTACTTCTTGGCAAAAAAATATATTTGTGAATCTCAGAAAAAGAGCCACTTTTTCTGGAGTGGATATTGAAGATAATTTTGATTTCGTGTACGAGGAATTTGGAGAATGAAATTCATTCATTCTTCTGTAGCTTCAACAGGCAAGCTATGGCTTCAGCCTTCCACTTTGAAAATGATCTGACACTCTCAACACATTTTGTGCAAACATCCATTAAGTACTGCAGACTTGCATGAGAACATGTGACCACTTTTGGTTCCGTGTTTATTCAGTGCAGTGTGGTCTATTTGTACCGTTCTCATTTCCAGATACTTGAGGTTGCTGTTTTTGTGAAGTCATTTCGCTTCATCTGCAGTCTCTATATCTAGAGGGTTTTTGTAATAAGTATGAATCTAAAATGGTGCTCCTCATGTGGGCAATAAGCAGTACGGTACACCAAGAAGTTGACTCAGAGAGGCTTTTGGGGGGAGGGGCAGCGCATTGTGGGTAATTGTCAACAAATTTTATTTGCCTGCTTCTCGCAGGGAATTTGAATTGTTCCAAATTTTGTTTGTACAATGTTCTCAAATAAACAGAAAATCTAATACCTGATCTTGACTACAGGGAAAAATTTTGGCATGTTTTCACCCTGTAGTGGTTTCAAAACTGTAGCTCATTCCTAGTATTGGATCACTGTTTTGGTCAAGATAACGGATGTTATCAGCAGTATCAAAAGAACAAGGCCCCAAAATGACATCAGAATGGAAATACAAGGACTGCAAATGGAGGTCACAAGACACATTTTCAGATGTAAATAATTTGTTCGATGGGGCGCTTAAATAAAGTATTCCTTTGCACAGATACTTTTGACACTATCCACAAGTGCTGCTGTGAAAATAACGGGAGCCTAACAATATGTATAGTTTCTCCAAGTCCAGCCAAATCTGCATTCTAATGTCCAGAACAGTCAAAATGAAACAGCAATTTTTCTGAGTTGTACATGTAACTTGATGGATAGAGTGCACCCCATCTGTTTACACTTTACACAGCACATTACTACACCAGCAGTTTTTCAACGTTGTTATCAGTCAGGCATTAGTGGTCGTGCACTGGCAAATAGTATTCTTACTGGGTTTTTCCCACACGTTTCTATTGTAAACCAGTCAGGTATGCCATTCAGGTGTGACATGACATTCAACATACCAAGTTATAAGTACATTCAATGTATAGATAGCACATTAACTTCAGTAGTTACTGTATAAAGTCTATTGGTCCAAAACAAGTTTACTTCTACAATTTTTGGTGAAGAATTGTATGCATTACCAATTGCCCGTGACAATATTTAGTAGACAAAAGAATCGTTTTAACAGGACTGGGGATCTTCTCTGATAAAAAAGGTGTATTAGACTACAAAATCTGCCCATCTTTCTAAATATTCAGACTCACCAAATGCGTGTTCATTCCTGCAGAGTTAAAAACTGATTGTTCTGAAACAATAGCACTCATTGTAGCTTTAGTTTGAAAAGCAAACTATATACTTGCAGGAGTCTTTTATACTTCGATAACAAATGTTTCTGTGAAGTAATTCCAAGATTGTACAACTTGCAAATTGATAATTGGGTTTGTTATATCAAGGATAGGTATTTCCATCTTGGCAGGAATTGCAAACAACTGATTTCGGTATTTTCAGATATGCTTCTGTCAAAAATTACCGTGAAACATAGAATTTTCAATCCAACCCAGTAGTGGCCATCTGGGTCCTTTGATGAAAGTTCTGAAACCAATAAGAGCTGAGATAATTACTAACATGATTTAATTAGTTCCTCTCATTTATGAAGAGTATTCAGTAATGAAATTGATTTGTTTGTTACAGTCACAGTTCAACGGACTTGATATATACTGCTCATGCATCCCCACATTGCTTTAACTTTGTTGAAGATACAACTTGAAGATACAGCACTTTTTTACCTCTTTACAAGTTTAGAAATTGAAAAGACACTTGCCCTTTCACATGAAGGCAATCAAATTTTATGCTGCTAGCAGCAGCCCCTTGCTATGGGTAAATTCTTCACTTTGGAACATGCTTTTTTTTCCTGCAACATTTGATGAAGTCAGTATTGCTTTAAACATTTGCATTGACGGACCAAATACTGGTAATATGGTTGATTAGGCCAGTCAAAGAGTAGTTGTGTTTTGGTTACCAGACTAACCCTGAAAATCATGAGGAAGCTGTGTCAGTTAAAATTTGACTTTAAAAAAGTAAAAAACTAACACACCTGCCTACATATCCATCCTAATGTTGTTTTTTTCCCCTGTTTGATCAGAAGCACATGTACCTGGTACTCTTTTGCTTGGCCTTGTGAATAATCCCGGATGGGGCTGTGTTAAAGAACAGATAGGCGTTGAGTTGTCTCTCTGTTGTCTCTCCTAAGGGTGATGAAGAGAAAGCCCAGGGTCGTAATCCAATTCCCATGATGGACCGCTCCAAGTCACATGAACTGCCAACCAATCAGGTGAGAGCCTTGGCAAGTGCATGAGGGGGAGAATAATGCTATTGTCCTAATCATGGATGATTTGATTATGCTGACTCTGCAGACCGGAAGAGTGCCAAATTTTCTGTCAGGAGAGAGTTACTGGAAAATCTGCCTTCTATTTGGCAGCAGGGAAAGATTCCAAGACCGTAATGTTATGAAAGATGAACCTGCAGAGTTAAATCGTGAAACTCTATCTTGTCACGAGCTAAAAGGTTCACAAGAATCAACTCAAGAAGATTTGGGCATTATTTACACTTAGTGTGATTTTTTTTGATAGGTTTCCTTTATTGTTGGCATCTGCCTTCCATGCTATGATCTTCTCAGCCAACTTGTTCCAAATGCCAAGCCAATGTACGACGGAGCAGCGTAAGTAGTTTACAGTTTTGTTTGGAAACTAAAAAGACAAAGGGAATAAGTTAGATGTTATATAATCATGTTGGAGTCCTATTGAAGTGAACCCTAATTTGCTCGTCATTTAGTAGGTTAGCTCACGTGACAGTATACATGTGTTTTTATCCGTCTGGAAATATCCATGATACGCAGTCAGCACTGAAATTCCTTTTGTGTATGAAATTTCATTTTTCTGAACTGAAGAAGACATAATGAGAAACATGGTTTGTTTTAATTTCCTTGAGAACGTCCTTTTTTCAACATTTGAATGCCCCTTACCATTCCTGAGAAATGAGGGTGTTGTCCCTGTTTTCTCTTTAAGTGCATAGTGTAGTTTGTGGGTTTCCCGGAAAAATTATAAATCAAAGATGTGGCTCATTAAAAAAGTTGTACGTAAATGTGGCTCATTAATTTACTCCTAATCATTCACTATTATCAGTCCACCACAGGATGAAAGCCTAAGCAGGGCTGAACCATGTCTCTCTAGTATACCTTACTTTATTCTAGCAATCAAATCTACTCCAAGTTCATCAGTTTCATCCCCCATCTTGTGTTCTTCTTTCCCTGTTCCTGGTGCTATCCATAGTCTCCAGGTTATCATTAACTTGTGTGGTTTTTCCTCGGGTCGTAGGAGGAATTTGCAGAACTGGTCAGCCATTGTCGCCAAGCAGAAGGCAGAAGAAGAAGAAAAGTTGAAACAGGAGGAGAATGCCAAGCATGAGGATAAACGCCAAGATGGGGATCAAAGAGAACCGGACACACCCGCCTCCACAACGGAGAACAAAGACACCACCAAGACAGCAACCACTGCAAAGAATCACACTGCAAGCACAGAGCAGCCAAAACAGCCTGACCCAAGCAAAGACAACCAGGGTAGGAGACGGACAGCAAACGATACGAAGCAGAGGTTGACAGGAAATGATGGGAAGGAGGCGGTTATCAAAGCCACCAACAAAGACGGTGAGAAACTTGAGCAGACTCAAGTGCAAAATCAAGATGCCAAAGGTACAAGCAGCAGATCAAGCATCAAAGCCAAGAAGTCTGTTGATCCGGATCATCAGGCAGAGCAATAACATGGACCCAGTGACTTGTATGATAGTTGTTATGTGTGGAAGGTGTTGATGTGTGTATACAGTCCACACATATCTTGAAGGATGTTACAGAATCACATATGCTGCTGAATATGCATGCTGATCACAACTATGACAAATGAACTTTTCAGTCAGTATATTTAAACAGCATACTTTTCCTGTTACCTAACATAAATACAAGATTTGCGACATTATTCCTTGCAAAGATGATGTCTGTTTAAATGGCACTTTAAATTGATTCATCAAAATGCCCACACTGTCTCAAAAGTCAGTCATTTATGAAGATTATCTATATCTTGGATACACTTTTTCAAAGTCTGTTTCAACTGTTATCAACCTGTTTTGAAAATAACTTTACCTCCATGCGTAGAGGTTGTTAAAATAGCTGTACCTCCATGTGTAGAGGTTGTTAAAATAGCTGTA